AAGAAGTATATATTATTATTTATCGTGTGTCGTTAACACGAATGGATAATCTAATCGAATCGATGCGAAAAGGGTAGGAAGAAAACGACACCGGTGATCGATCATCACGGCCTATTCGGTGGGCTATTCGAATAATCGAGAGTTTGGTTAATAGGTATTCCGATAATTGACATTCCACGGATATTGTTCGGAAATTTCTGCATAGATGGGATGATTAATCGCACAAGTTCGTCAAGGCGGTGATTCGTGGCTATAATCGCTACGAGGGAGGGGGGGAAAAAGAAAAAAAGAAAAAATATCAGCCATTTTTTCCCATTCGAATTATTTCTGAAAAAAAAAAAAATTCAGAGTTTATATTTTAGAAATCTTATTCATCCTCCATGATATGAATTTTTTAAATAATTAATACAATAAAGTATTTTTTTTATTGTTATCTTTCCAATATTTAAGAGTTGGTTTAAAGAGTTACGCAAGCGAGGATTGAGAAAGGTTAATGCTCGATCTGTAGCGGGGACTTACCAGCCGAGTTTATTACGGTAAATATCTTAAGAGATCATATATTATAACTGTCACGGCTGTTCTCCCTCCCCTAACCCTTTTAACGTGATAAATGTATACTCCGTGGGGGGGCCTCTTGCGAGGGTGGCGACATCTCGATGCAATTTCGAAGATAAATATTCCCATCCTTGAATGCTTTGTCCCGGTAATTTACTTTTTCGCTTGATTTCATATTAGGTGTAAAGCCTGCAAGACAAATGTGGCGGCCGATATATTTCCTTATTCTTTTCGAACGTATTAAATCTGCCAACGCGAACGGGCCATTTATCACGTTTTCTCTTCCGTTAAGGTTAAGAAAAGTATATGCAAATATAATGCGATCCGATAATATAATATAATATAATATAACCGTTTTCACGGTTGAAATAAATTCTTCAAGCGCCGTGTTTACGGTATATCTACGGGGTATAAAGACGTTCACGTGTTAAACGAGCGTACATACGATATCCGACAGATTAATTAATGAGAGAGAAGAAGAATTGTACGATTATATTAATGGACGAATGTAAATGGAGAGGAAAATAAAACGAAGGTGAAAAAAAAAAAAGTATCTTTTTTTTTTCAAGGTAACGGATTATATACATAAGCGAAACGAAGCGAGAAAGTTGATATCTTCCATAACGAAGGATACAAGCGGTTAATTAACACTTTAATGGCGGCGGGACCTTTCCTATATTAAACATGCCGGGTGTCCTAGCAGCGATTAAAGCATTACCATTAACGTCTTTAACTTTTGATATCTTTATGGAGGATGGGGGATATCCCTGGGGCGGTATAGAAACGGATTTGCAAAATTACTGGCCAAAGTCTCGATGAACCGTGTTACGCTAAATTGACGCGTTCATTATAACGAGAATGACGAAACTTTTGGTATCGTCTTACTATCGAGAAACGTATAAAAAGTCATAAGGACAGTAGTAGTTTTATTAATAAACGAATAAATTGTAAATATTTTGAAATGAAAGATAAAGAAGAATAAAGAAGAATTGTAATTAATATATAACTCCGAAGATAGAAACGCGCAAAAAAATAGAACTTTTGATTCTCGAAATATCGTATAAAGAAAAGTTAATGAACGGTTTAAAGCCTATTAAAATTAGAAAAACTTTGATTCTATATAACTTCGAAAATAATGACTTCCGGTTAACGAACGAAAGATCGTTAGAAGCGCAGAACCTTGCTCTTTAAAACGCATTCAGATTCATCTCGATACGACTTCCGGTTCCCGAGATATCGTCGTGTAAAGAGTAAGATAATTTTTAATCGTTTTTCATTTCTATCGCGCTCTCTCGCTCGTGTCTGATCCTATTTCAAACTCCAGATAAGTGACAGGCGCAATTCACAGGAAATGCGCGTACTTACGTCTTTTCAGGCAAAACGTTTCAGGGGCCGTTCGCAATCTCTATAAGCGATATGGAAACTTTGAGACCTTGTATCTCAGCAACCTTTATTGAGATAAAGGGATAAAACAAAAAGCAACTTCGAGAGCATGGCTTTCTCCATTTCCCGGGAGGATTTTTCGAGGACAAAATTTTTAATTTCTTCCGATATTTCTAACGTGAGAATCCAAGTTTTATTTACGACTCTGTGTAAAGTATACGATGTATCCTCTTAAGCACATCGATTGAACATTCGAGCATGTTTTAGCTGGCATAAAAATCGAGAGTTTAGTGAAAAAAAAAAGTTAAAAAGGATCGCGCCCATTTTATCACGGTGGATCGTAATTTTTGTCGTATCGTGATTGATTAACCCCTCTGACCGACCGATATTTCCCCTCTTAAATCCAGCCACGCCGCGCACCTGTGTGACGTGACATGGGCGGTCAGAGGGATACTTTATAGTCACTCGAAAAAAATGGTTAATCCACGATGCTGTCGCGGCCACGTAGCGGGGAAATATTTCGCGCCAAGTGGCGGAGCGAGCTAAAAAGTGAAAAATCATCGCGAAACTCGCGAGAGAAATCTCCTCAAAATTTTCACCCCTCGCTATTCGCTGTTGTTCGAAAACAACGAAAATTGGTGAAAATGTCGCCAATTCTCGAATGTTGCCGACTCGATCTCCCCAGAGATTGCCACACTTTACATAATCGAGGATCGTGAAAATTGCTGCCCATATTTTTACCGCACTTTCCTTACGATTCGAAATATCAACAATTCCAATAATTATCGAGCCCGAATTGCGCAGAACGGGACACAAGCGACGATTGGAGAGATCTGCATGGGATGTTTGGGAGGTTTCGTATCCCGATAAAAGTTTAAATTAAAGTTCATTCGATTTTACGGCACACGTAGCAGCGCGCCGTTAGACGCAGTTGGCCGCGCTGGTGCGAACGTGTTTTGCCGCAGTGCAGGATGCAACACACAGGGCATAGTTATGCGCCGCCCGTTCTCCATCGGTGTGTACTTTCGTGCGACCATTCGGCTCCGCGAGGAAACCCTCGTTCGAGGTTTGTTCGTGCGTTCACCGACCGATCGGCGGCGTGCCCGAATTACGCGTATAAATTCGACACGAAATACCAATATACCCATCCCCTCCCCTCTCGATCGCGGTTGTAATCCAAATTTCGCGACACTCTTGTTTTTTTTTTTTTTCAATTTTTCGATCCGTGTCGCCGGACAATATCGGACAAGAAGATTTTATTATTATTATTATTATTATTATTATTATTATTATTATTATTATATGTTGGCAAATTTTTTATTTTTATTTATTAGACTTATTTTTTTGGTTGTTTTAGTATTATTTTAATTGTTTCAAATTTATTTTATTTTATTTTTTTTTTTATTGTTTCAGATTTTTTTGATTGTTTTAGATTTATTTTTTTGTTGTTTTAGTATTTTAGTTGTTTGAGATTTATTTTTTTAATTGTTTTAGATTTATTTTTTTAGTTGTTTCAATATTTTAATTGTTTCAGATTTTTTCATTGTTTTAAATTTATTTATTTTTTTTTTAGTTATTTTAATATTTTAAACGCTCGAAATTTCAAAGTCTTTTTTCGCTCGGCCGAACCAACAACTCGAGACGATTTTCCGTGAATTTCTTACGGCTAACTGAAAATGATTTCACGCGCATAATTAACGCATAAAACTTTTATATTTCCATATTTTATGTATTTTTATGTATAAAGAATGTAAATTTGTCGAATATTAAACTCTGTATCGTTGTTTCGGGCGATATTTTATAATTTTTAATCTTTCACCTTTCGTCGAAAGGAAACCTTATAATCCTTCTTAACTTTTGTTACGTAACATTCATCATCTATTATTCTTATTTTTCGCCTTTTTTTACACCTCTTGTTTCATTTCTCTCTCTCTCTATCGTCAATTTCTTCACGAATAGAAATAATTTCTTCGACTCGAAAACGAAAAATCAAACTCGCTCGAGGTTAATCATTGTCACGTTCCACGCTTATAAAAACCCAAAAACTTTGAAAATAATATTCCTATCGCCACGAAACTGTGAAACTCGACCAATGTCGAAGTTGCGGTCGGATCCTCGACCACGATCCAATTCGAGACAAGAAAATCCACCTATTCGACATTATATTATTCTACCTTATACGTAAACAAGTTAAGAATGTATTCACGAAGCGAATATTCTGACAAAAAATGAATCGTAAATAAATATCGTCGAAGTGGTAGGTTAAAATAAGTTAAAATACGTGTACGAGTGAGTGAGAAACCAAGCGTAAACTAAATATGTACGTGTATAAGTAAGAGTTATGGTCGGAGTAGTCGACTGGAAAAAGAGAAACTTTTTTATGAAGCATTCCTTCGAGGCCACTCAACATATATATCTTTCTGGAAGCGAAAATAAGAATTTTAATTTTTACACGTTCGAGAATAGGTGGATGAGAATATTTTAAATAAATAATTGGAAACAGAAAGCGAATCCAAAAAGCGATTCATTTTCTTATGGAGATATAAATGGGACATTCGCTTTTTCGAATTTTTTTAGCGTTTGGCGGATCGAAATTTTCTTTATTTTCGTATATTTTGATTCATAGAAAAGTTGCCTAAAATATTGGCTCCAGCTTTTTTTTTCAAATTCTCCGCGCAACATTGAAAAGCTTTCCCTTTGCCGTACTCGAACATTCTTTTTTTTTTTTTTTTTTTTTCATTTTTTCAATATATATAACAGAATGTTACATAGATTTCAATTTTTGAAAAGGAACCGAATATTCTCCATCTGTTATCGCAGTATTATTGGTTATTAAATTATTACAGTTTCGTGGATCGAAGTCCATTATCGAATTCTTCGATATGATTTGATAAAGTGAATTATTCTTCGAGAGCTTGCTTTGTACGATGAAGAAAAGAGAAAAAAAAAGAATTTGGGTGAAACTTAGCAATTCGACGTATTTCGAAATGAAAAATGCGTATTAATGTATCATGGCAACGTTGCATCGAATTTCGATGAATTTCGTATTGTTTAATTTTCAGACGAGGCTGTGCGTAGCACGCGTTTGATCGAGGCTGATAGCGATCATCTCCAAGAATATGCCACGCCGGATCCGAATCCTTACTTCGACATTACGCGCGCATCGAACGTGACGGGTCTCGTTGGAAAGACGATTCAACTCGTTTGCAAAGTGAAGAATCTTGGGAACAGAACTGTAAGTAATTCCTTCGTTTATTAGCGAGAAAATGCAAAGTAAAATCTTGGAATGGAATGGTCATTGTGTGCTTAATAGGAAAATTAGATGAAATAATTTGGTGCAAAAATTGTAAATAAATTTTACAGTGTAAAGAGAGTTAAATTTAGAAGATTAATATAATAAAATAATAAAATATAATGTAGTAAAAATAAATAAACTTTAATATTAAATAATCTTATACGTATATATTTTATGTATAATTTAAATTTATTTTTCTATCGTTATTCTTTTAATATTGTTAATGAAATTTAATAAGTTTAGAGGATTATATTTATATTTTTCTATATAATGAAAATGTTTCAATCTAATCGCTTTGCATGTTACTTATTCTTCATCTTCGTGCGAAATAGGATAGAATTTGGGCGAATTTCCAAGAACTCGAAAAGGCATCGAAATTAGTACGTGATTCCCAAAATTGCACGTGTATTTTTTATATATTTTGAATTTATTTTCATTATTATTCTTTATAAAAATTATAAAAATTTACCTAATTTATATTTTTCCATACGATATTTCAATTTTTATATTTTACACATCTGTTGAACTCGCTCTCTTGAACCTGTTCTTCGAGCAAAATAAGACTTCCAAAATTCCACGTGTATCCTTTACATACTTCGAATTTATTTACCCATCATTTGCTCTTCTAACATCATTGATATAATTTTACCGATTATTTTCTTTCTCATTGTTATCCTTCATAGAAATTCCACCTAATTCATATTTTTCCATCATACGATGGAAATGTTTCAATCTCTTCGCGGAAAAAAAAACGAATTTCGAAATTAGTATCAAACGCGACGAATCGTGATCGCGACGAGTTCGAAAAATCGAAAATTCCACGCGTATCGGCGGTCGGTAAACGAGATGTCAAACATCACGCGTGCCGGGTCAACCGATTTGTTGTTGTCCGCGCGTCACGCGCACACGAATTCCAAGAGTAGTATTACGAGATCGGCTGAAACGTCAACGTTTCGCCTATGTATTGACGAATCATACGCTCGAATCGATTCTCTAATCGCCAAACTCCCCCCCCCCCTCCCGAAACGTGCCACGTGACTCGTTTAGAAAATTCTATTCGGACAGATTCTCAACTTGAACCGGCCACAATATTTATTTATATTATCTTCTTCGATATTCCTTGAAACATCGTTGAAACAAACAATTATCAAAGTTTTTAATCGCTGTTTGTCGATTCAATTCGCGTTATTGGTTCAAACAATCGCGATCGTAACAACGATTCTTTCTTCCTTGCTTACGAGGAATATAATTTAGAAAAGTATTCGTATTCCTCACGCTCTACGTTTATAAACAAAATTAACACGTTTGTTTATACACTCGTCTCTGTCTATAATTTTATTACTATGTGATTTGTAAACCATACGCTCAGTTAAAAGGTTGAAGGCTAACTGTCGAGTGTGGCTCATTAAGTGTATATTAAACGGAAGGGAAGAAGCACGTTCGTACGTTTGGAAGGCAATGTCGTATTTTTTTAATCCCGAAACTCATTTCCATGCAAAACTCGAGCTCGACCACCGCACTATGTCACACGGGTTAATACATTTCGTTGATATGGAACACGTATCTACGCGTGAAACACTAGATATGAAGAGGAAAAGGTGGGGGAGTCGAGATTACACGAAAGGAAGGGGAATCTTTCGCCCTTTCCATCCTGCTTTCTGTATTTGAGTTAAAAATACACACACACATACACACACACGCACGCACACACACACACACACACAGTGCAGGATAGAACGCCATATTTCGAAAGCAGGCGTAAACGAACCACTGCTAGAAATTGGGCGGTTAATCCCGAGACGTAATCGTGATATTTGCTCGAGATGCGAAACGAGAAGTGTTCTCGCGCTTTGTGAAAAGAGAAAGGTCGATTTCGATTTCGACTCCTCGAAATGGACACGAAAACTGTGTGTACGGAAAATTCGAATTTTATTTTATATAAAGGAGGGGGAGGGGGAATGGTGAGCAACGTATGTTCGATTTATAGTATATAATGCGGCAATAATATTCAAATTTTCTTTAAAATTCTGTCTAAATTCTGAAAATCCCGAGCATCGTGTCGAATAATTTCTATATGTTGGATTTAATTAATTGCGGGTATCGTTTATGAACCACATTCTAAAATTATAAGCAGAGACGGGTATGGTATATAAACAATATGTTAATTTTTGCTATTATCAAACAGGCGGTTGTGGCTTATATACACCGCTAAAATGAAGATAAAATAAATATAATAAAAAATAATGTTTTATAAATATCACTTCGGTAATATAATTTAAAATTAGAATGTATATATTTTTATTTTTTCATTTTTCTTATCGTTGATTATAAAATAATTTGTCGGTCGGCATGCTTTTATTTTTTTATCCTATTTTTGTCCTAGTACAAGATAAAAGTTTAGTCTCATTTTACTGCTATTCTTTCTAAGTATATTTTCGTAGAACTTTTCTTTAATATGGATAAGCCTTCTACTTCTTCCAGTCCTTTCTCGAGAAAAAGTTAAACGTTAAATAAAATATTGACGAATATAGTTGATGAAGTTTTAATATAAATAATATAAATATACGCTTTATTATATGATACTTTCTTACTTTTTGTAATTTATAAAATAATTAGAATTATATTGTCTAATCTTATGATTTTAGTAAAATATTTTTTTTTTTTGCGTTTCAAGCGATCAACTGTGTTAAAGATATCCGTAAGGGTTAACAATACGTATTTAGCGGCGTTTTTATTTGAAACAAAATAATACTACGCGCATTAAAAAAAACATGGTTTAAAGTGGATATTTAACAGTGGATAATATAACGTGGAAAAATAATTACATCGCGGTTGAAATAGATCCGGCAATAAATAATATCGACGGTATTGCGTCGAGTATTATGCAGTATTCCAATAATTTCGCGTTGAATTTACGGAAGTTATCGATTACCCGTTAATTTAAACACGCTAATTAATTCACAAATGCGTCTATAAATAATATTTAAAGATGTATTTCGAGCTGTATTTTTAATTTCGTCGATTAATAATACCATGTATCGAAAAGAATCGAATGTTCGAAGAGGAGTTCGAAAGATGATGAAAATGAACGAGAGCAAGAAATTCCCTGTTTATCGATATATAAATATGTAACGAGGGATTCAAATATGGGAGAGGGGGAAGAGGATTCAAGTTTTGCAAAGATGGCTTTTAGAGTTTGGTCACTGGAAAATTCATATATTTACATCATGCTGGTTTCAATGGTGAATCTCTTATATCTCTAATATATGTATGAGTTTAAAGCGTACCTTTTGTGCCATGCTCGATGCCAAGAGATGATTTCCTATTCCGAAACTTGTACCGAGACTGTTCAACCGCACAGTTGAATACACACGCGCACATTTTTTGTTTCACACGCGATTCTCGAAATGTTTCTTCTATCCTGTAGGAAAAAGCAGTCAGCGGATTATATTCAAATTTTACGCACATTTTTCGCCATTTTTATATCCTTCTTCCAAACTATTGCAAATATTGCAAATATTATTATACTATGATTTCACTACGGTGAAAAAGTATACCAAAAATAACGTCTCACACGGATTACGATGTACACACAAATGTATTTGACTGTCTGAAAGTAATTTCGTTTTTTCACACGAGTGTCGCTAGTCGAACGTTTATCCAGCCAACTTCATTCTAAACCGTATATATTGTTATATATTGTGTTGGCATTTCGTGGTTTATTTAAAGAAGAAAAAGAAAGAAAAATTCGATTCTGTGCGGGTTCTGTGTTTTTCGTGCGTGATAACAAAGATGTAAGGCCAAAAGAAGCATATTATTCGGCATATTTTATTTTTTTATTATCGAAAAGGTAAGAATGCTGTGAAAAGGCAAGAAAAAGGTTATACGAGGAGAAGGTATATTAACAACGCGCCAGTATTCAAAATTATGATTGTGATTTTCGAAATTTCGTTTCGACAATTTCAATATTAAACATACGTTTTAAAAGATCGGTTAAAGCCGATTAAGACAAAATAAAAGCATCGATCGAAGCAAATTGCTACGAGATTGAATTTATCGAATTCGACCGTTCATAATCATGTGAAACGATTTGGTATTTCATTGTCATGAAAAAAAAACGAAATAATTATGTATTATTGTATACGTAATTTTTAAACGTCTCGTTATTTTCGCAATGATCAGTTTATCAAGGAAACAGCTTGATCTTACTTATGATACGTCGTATATATAAAGTTTCGTATTATTTTCACGTATATACGTAATCATATTAGGCAACGTTTGACAAGGAAATAGCGATGATCAATCGCAATAACGAGATATCCGGAACAAAATTCCGTTCGAAAATGATTCCTGTTAGAGATACCGAATCTCTACGGGATCTTAGATAAGCGAATAAAGGGTAAAGTCAGATCATACAGAGCGACGTAAGGCAATTCGGCTGAATATTGCGGCAACTTCCATTAATTAGAACGAGATCCAGTCGTTGATTCCGCCATAATGCTCGCGATTTCCAGTGATAATTTCGATCGTTCTCGCGATTTTAATAGATTTCGATACTGCGCAATTTTAGAAAATTGAAATTGGAATAGTTCCATTCCTATACTATATAACAATAAAATTAATTCATCGCAAGTTTTTATCGTAAATCAAGAGCAAATTTCACACGCTAATGATGAATTTATTGCTAAATTCGCAAAAGTTCTAAAGTCTTTCGAGTCGTTCGTTCGAGGTGACAAGAGTTGAGAAGATTCCAAGATGTAAAGTTTAAAAGATCGAAGAAGTTCGAGATTACGAATATTCGAAAAATTCTGCAAAAAAGACTCGTAACTCTTTAAAGCATCTCTTCCATGCTCGTTTCGCGAGATCGCGGACGGGGCACACAAGCGCCATGGACCAGCTCCCTGATCGAGTGACACCCTCGAAAATTTCTACGGAATTGGACTAAGGCTACGCCACCCACGGAATCCGTTGTTCCCAGAAAACTGAACTGCGAGTGTTCGCAATAATTCTTCTCGAGCAGGACGATGGCGATCGCCGTTGAAATTGGCGCGGCTGGAAAATGTCGTCTCGAGTCCCAAGACCGCGTTCACGCTCCACCCACGCCGAATTCTTTCCAACGAACGTACGAGTCGAAGGCTGCTCCAAATTCTTCTCTCGAAAACGGCACTGTCCTCGCACCATCGGTTCCACGTCTTGACAAAATTCGTATCTTTTCACACGTTAAGAACAATCTCTTATTGCTTAGTTTTTCCATCGCGTAGATCTGATTTCACGCGGCGATCGATATTTATTTCATTTACAGGAGACCGTAATAATTAATTTATCGAAGGCAATGATTGGATCGAGAGAAATTTCCTTCGATCGTAAATCTGCTCGTATAATTCTCTTCCTCGACGTGCTCTTCAACATCTCGTGCGTTCTTTTTTTTTTTTTTTTTATCGAAGATCGTTGGATCCCACCACGAACGATCCAACAATTTTATACCGTGTCATCTGTATTCGACACGCGATGAATCAAGTGAGAAGCTCTCGAGCCCCCTTTTTCCTAATTCAATTTCGTTATTATCTTATGAAACTACCTCCGTTTTTTCTTTCCGTGCACAGCTTCGTGTCAATTTCTTGTACGAGATTATTTAAACGAGCGTGAAATTTATATTCCCTCCTAGAATCGAATATACGTTATATTATAACAATCTTTAATTGAAATATCGTGTTTAACGTTTGATCGATAAATTAGATTTAATTTTAAAAGTTAAAAGGAAGCAATTTGAAAAATTGATACATCTCATCTTGATACATCTCGAAAAAAAATGCTAATTGGAAGATTTTAAGTCTTGCCTTGTTATTATTAAAAATCTTGACTTAAAAACACTAATAAACACACAGAGAATCGAGATATCAAAGAATCCAGATATCGATTTCGATCGAATATCAAAGATTTTAATTTGGTGAGCGAAAGGATAATAAATTATCGTCAAAAATCGAGGAGGATTTCTTGTTTTGGTGATAACAGATGATATCAGTTCGAAAGAAACAAAGAACGAGGGATTTTTAAAAAAAATATATATCACACCCTATTTAAGAATCGATTGTGACGCTATAATCTGTGAAAATGAAATTCTCGCAAGCCGAGAACAATTCGTCCCGGTTACGCGAGAACGTTCTGAAAATCGGCGGTGACACGTTAATTACAAGCGAGAAACGAAGAATTAAGCGGGCGGTTGCCCGCTTGTGTGATTCGGGTTGAGAAATTTCATTTAACATCGAAAATTGCTCGACTCGCGAAATAATGCAGTGGAGAATTGAAATTTACTTTGTTCGTAATTAAGCAAGAGATTTCAGACATATACATGTATGTATATGTGTGTGTACATAAAACGCGTATATGGTTGGCCAAATATTTTGAAAAAATTATACGAATGATACGAAAAAAAAAAAAAAATTGTTTGGTCAACTTCGATCCTTTAAACTGTATATATTTCATGGCAATCAATTTAAGAAGTACACGATACTTTTTATTTCATTCATTCTAAACTAAACATTTTTTTTCCCTTTTAAGTTATACGCCGATTAATAATATGATAAAAATTATATAATTCCTTATATATCAAATATTTATTATATATATTATTATATTATATATATATTATTATATATTATAATTATATATATCCTTTCATATCAAATATTTCATCGTTTCATATTTTTCATAGATACTTGAATCGTGTATTATCCGTATATCACGCGACAAATTAGATTATTAACGACACCTCTTATAGAATATAAAACGATTTATAAAGGAACAACGGATTTATATAACGACCGAACGACGTACGAGCTTAACGGTACGACGACGGTTGGAATAACGGTGTATAAAAGGAGGGAAACGGATGTCTTAGAGGAGGGGACGAAGAAACGAGAGAGGGATAAAAGTTGTACGATCTCCAATGTTGTAAAGCGTGCGAGTTGGTAATAAGGTAATGGCGAGGGATGTCGAGCGAGACATAATGCAACGTGCCTCGCATCCCGCAGCATTATCTTCGGATACGACTTTTTTTTTTTAATGCCAACACCGTCTCGCTCGTAAACCCAATGGAAACAGGCTTCTTCCAAACAAATTTTTGCCACGCTAACCCGCCTTTAAAAAACTTTTTTCTACGATACATCTTCTATATTATCGTCGTCGAAGATTATTTTATTACTCAACTTTAAATAACAATAAAATAGAGTTAATTATATGGTGTACTTTTAATTATAATCCTCCTTTTATATTTTTACTTATATATAGGTAGAATAATTCAAATTGGCATGCAATTCTTTTTTTCTGTTTTAAATCTTTTGCTAATACTTTATTTGAGATTTTTAAGTTGAAGAGATTTTGGAAAAAAATTTTTTTATAGAGTGATACTTAACAATTACACGCCGCACAACATATTGTACACGTTGTACATTATTTATATATTCTTTATATAGTTTCGGGAGTAAAATATAGGTGGAAAATAAAAGATATTTTTTATCGCACAGCGATAAAAAGAGTAAATATACACGTTCCGAAAACGGTATGTTTTTTGCCAATACCGTGTATCGTGTAGTGTTTACGATACACGGTCAGTGAATAGCAGGTAAACACACGCGCGTTCAATATGTCGGTTGTGAATTCGCGTTTCGAATTCTAATCATTTCTGCTTTTTAAAGGGTCGATTAATTCTCCCGTGTTATGACTAACCTTCCCAAATGTTGTTGTCATTTTGGATTGAATTAGATTGTAAAAATAAATTTTGTATATAATATATTATAAAAATCTTTACACATGGAGATCAAAATCGAATATAAAATTTATTGTCTTTCTAGGTCTCGTGGGTTAGGCATCGAGACATTCACCTGCTGACAGTCGGTCGTTACACTTACACGAGCGATCAACGCTTCGAGGCAATGCACACACCGCACACAGAGGAGTGGACACTGAGGATACGATATCCTCAGAAGAAGGATTCCGGTATTTACGAGTGCCAAATATCCACCACTCCTCCCATTGGATATTCCGTGTATCTCACCGTGGTCGGTAAGTTAACTTCTATATTTTATATCACGACAATAAACCTTTTCAAAAGAAAATTAAATTGAAAACTTATACCCTTAAAATTACTTTTTGTCAGCGACCGGTATTTTTTCTGGAAATGTCTTTGTAGGAATCGCGTCTGTCATTTGACTGGTGTTTGGAATAGGTCAGTGAGACGAGATGCGAACGAGTCGATATACGCTTAAAAATTAACCTCTTCTTTACACGACGATATCTCGGGAATCAGAACTTATATCGAGATGAATTAAAAAGCGTTTTAAAGAGCATGGTTCCGTGCTTTTAACGATCTTTCATTTGTTGATCGGAAATCTCTATCCTCGAAGTTATAACGGTTCAAATTTTGTTCTAATTTTAATACGGTTTAATCGGATTAAATCGAACGATCGAAGAAATTGAATTTCCTTTACACGATGATATCTCGGGAACCGGAAGTCGTATCGAAATAAATAAAAAATGGTTTTAAAGAACAAGATTCCGCGCTTCTAATGATCTTTGATTCATCTACCAAGTTTCGTTATCTTCAGAGTTACAGCGGTTTAAATTTTTCTTAATTTTAATAGGATTCAATCGAGTTTTAAGATAAATTATATACGACATATATATATTTATTTCTTCAAACGTGTCGAGTTTACAAGTGCGAAGAAACACGCACGACACGATCTCTTGAGCGCGCAAGTATTTAATCAATCGTTTCACATTTAATTTTGCACGAAGAATCCTCTCGTACCACGAGTTTCTCCTTATGCATACAACCTGTATATTGCACTCGCATCACGTTGTAAACACAACGTGAGAAACACAAAAAAATGAAAGCTCGGATGGAAGGTTGGTTGGTTTTAACGAGCGAGGCGAGATGTTGCGGGCGAAATTACCACGCGGATATCGTGGTTTAAGGGCATACTTATCGCCACCCGACTTTATAACCAAACAGATATCGCGGCAGTGACGTACGTATCGGCGGTTTAATCGAACACGCGACGATGGCCACATGAAAGGAAACCGCGTTATTGTTCCGAGCAACGTGATTATACCGTGGAGCGGGGTGGGAGGAGTGCGTCCACGAGTGACGTGGAAATTAGAAAATGAGGGGGGAGGAGGGGAGGGGTGGAATCGACCGGAAACATAAATACCACGATGATTATGCGAAGGATAATATCGAACGCTTTCACTATTGTATCGAACTATTATTCGATTAAACGATCTATTAATCTCGTGGAAAATTTTCCTTGGTAAGATCGCCGATACAGTTATTGGGCCGGAATTGTTGCGAACCGAACCGAAATTTCACGACGATGGTATACGCGAGAGATATCGCGATAATGCAAGTTCCATTTTGTTGTTAGATACGATATTATTCCACACTGGATATGGAACACGAATCCCTAAAATGTACGATATTTTAATAAAGAATGGAATAATTGTATATACAAAGTATATATTTCTTCTCGAGAATTTTAAGGTAAATTTTTGGTAATGTTCATCAATTCTTGTAATACAAGTAATTACGATTAAAAATTGAAATTATTATTATTTACAGGAAGAAAAACAATGAAAAATTGTCATAAACAGAACGATAATAATTTTTCTCGAGATATATCTGGAAAAGTTAACAGGATAATTTTCGTTGATATCTTGCTAGTTTAGTCAAAAGTTTTTTCAAAGAAAAAAAACGAGATAGGAAAATTAGAAGATTCGTCTGAAAATAAGGTCTAACCTCGTAAACGATTCCCTCACTCTGACAAATTAAACAGAGAAGGGGGGGAGCAAAAAGCGTGTGGAGGCGCGAGAGAAAGAGTCGAGAATCCGATAGAGCGAGAAGAGAATATCGACGGATGTAAAGAAAGAAAGAAAGAAAGAGAGATTCCATCCTCCATTCGTTTCTTTTCACGAGCGATAGGTTCATTAGCATCGGTCGATAATTGGCGTTCGGTTTCGTGACTCGGTTTCGCAAAACCCGTCCCTTCGATCCATCCTTGACATCCTCATTCTTCCAACATCGATTCCAAATCTATCTTCTTCCTCGAAAGTGGTCTGTGTAACATTTGCAAGAATCGCTCCTTTCCAAAAATTTTATCGTTCACTCTACTGAAGTTACCTGATACTTCGATCTCTCTACGCACGAAAATTATGAGTAATAAAAAATTATATCTTTTGAACCAGTATGAGATAAAGAATTGAAAAGAATTGTTTCGATCTTTTTTGAATTTTTCTTTTTCCTCGTATTTCCTCTTTTTCCACTCCCCAAAGGAATTCGTATTTCGAACATGGTTAAAGCAAAATTTACAACGAAGCAGCTGTTCTCAAACTTTATTATCAGATCTCGTTTGTACAAGTACCAGTAGTAGCAGTAGTGGTAGTAGTAGTAGTTTCGAAATTCAATTTAAAAGTTGTGAATCTTTTATCGATTCCTTTTCTTTTCTCCCCTCCCCTTCCCCACTCCTCTAAGAAAAGGCGGTCGCGATGAAGTATTCGTGTAACGAAGCGCGTGAAAGCGGCGTAAATTTATCATCGTCGGATCGTCAGAAATTGTACGGTATAAGAAAATTCGGTTTCTCGATGCTCGTAACTCGTAAGGGGGGGCGGTATGTTAACGGAATTAAACGCTCAGGGATTAAGAATAGAAGAATTCTCGTCGCAAGTTGATCACGCTTCGTTTTCTCGTTCCCTGGAAAATAGAATAGAATCTTGGATCTGGAATCGTCGCGCTGAAAAACGAGGAAAGATTGATGTGTTTCGTGGGAGGAGGAGGGGGAAGAGAGGGACCTCTTTGGGGATATATCCATTCCCTTTTAAACTATTATCTTCAAATTTTTAACTCGGTATTTCATTTGCGATTTTTTTTTCCTCGTGCGTAATTCTGTCGCGTTTTTCCTTTTTTTTTTTTTTTATCGTAATTACGAAAGGGAGGAGTCTCTGAATTATATCTTTCTACCGTCTAATTTTTTCCCTCGTTTTTCGCCTGTTCGGGGAAAAAGTGAGAAGTTGTTCGCTCGTGGATTCGTCGGTTTTCGCCGCGTCTAACGAAGGAGGCCAGGCCAGAAGAATCGAATCGAGAGAAACAATTGTTGTCGAGGTTCCTTTCGTTCTCGATACCCACTCGATACCCGTGAAATCGCTGCGACAAATTGAGCCCTTCGATTCCTTTCCTCCCTCTCCGTGTCTCCTCCTCGTTCTTCCGTTCTTCTTCTCCCTCCTCCCCCCCTCTTCTGGAAGTCTTGGAATACGTGGAGAAGAAACGATTCTATCGTTCTCCTCTTCCTCTTCGTGAAACTGTTCACTTCCATCCCCTCCTCGAAAATTCGCGAAAAAACTCCCTTCTCCCAATTTGATTCAATTCGAAAATATCTCTCGGAACGATACTCGAGAGAGAATGAAAAGTATTTGCGTTTTTCTTTTTTTTTTTTTTCTTCGAAAATTTTTGTCTCTGGTAAATTGAATCGACTCGAAGATCATCATCATCATTATCATTCATCTCGACAATTTCTCTCCGTTTCATCGCCGACTTTTAATTCCATAAAAGCGAATTTCGTTTTCGTTAATACGAGAGAGAGAGAGAGAGAGAGAGAGAGAGAGAGAGAGAGAGAGAGAGAGAGAGAGAGAGAGAGAGAGAGGAAAAATAATATTTAAACATTTTTTACCTCCGAGCCCCATTACGGAAATAAAGTTAATTCCTCGAAATATTAACTCGAAACACGTTCGTTATTGCATACTTTATGGCATTCGAAAAAATAACATTTACGCGAGATTTTCTTTACCTACCCCCTCTACGATCTAATTGGATATTCCCTTTTAACTCATTATCTTCCAATTTTTAACTCGGCATTTCATTTGCGATTTTTTTTTTTTTTTTTTTTCCCTCCAACGTCGTGCGTAATTCTGTCGCATTTTTTTTTTTTTTTTTGAATCGTAATTATATCTTTGTACCGTCTAATTTTTTTCCCTCGTTTCGCGGCAAATTTATTTTTATTATTTATCGGATATTTTGAAAAAATTGTTTCATCAACGTAAATTATAAATTGCGATATTTTATATTTTATACCAGAAAGAAAATTATTAATGAACGATTTTCGTTTCTATTACTAAGATCTTGATAAATGATAAATGTAAATTATAAAATTATTATTCTTAATTCTTAATCGGGAAAATTATATTCGAAGAAACACTCTTGGAAGATAATATAACACGCTCTATTCGAATGCTTGATCTTCTTTTCATTAACCATGGTTCGCTTTTTATCGAATTTGTCGCGAAGAAAGATTGCGCGATTGGTCGCGATCGCTGTTCAACTTTTTATAGCTTCTTTACGATCGACTCTCGTGGTGTTACTTTTTATCGCGAGCATCGATAAAATCGATTCGTTACGTTTAAAAAAAACTTAGATATTTGTCATAAAAGCCGTTATTCGTTTCGACGATAACAATTAATTATTTCCTCTTCGTTAATAAATGGATAATAATTGACGAGAAGAAAAAAAGAAGAAGAAGAGGAAGAAGAAGAAACGAATCACTTTTTATCCTTTGGAAACTTTGAATTTAACTTTGAAGTGATATCTCATTTATCATTTAAATTTATCTCCCTCTCGCTATAAAAATTCATTCTTGCACAAAGCGATCCGTACGATTTCCTCCTTTTAATTAGGTTGTCTGTTGTTTAATTAATCAAAACGGGAGCACTTAGAAATTCCGGTTCGTGTTAAGCCCCGTCGAAAGAGGGAGTGGGGGAAAAAAAAAGGGAGAGGGAACAATTCATCACCATTACCGAACCTTTTGATCATTCCTAATATAATGGAATGGATCTTGATCGGGCTGTAAATCTCTGCAATTTTTAACGTGACTTTTATAAGCTCGATTAAATAAATTATAAATACATGGAGTGATTTTTTTAACAAAAAAAAAAGAGAGAGAGAGAGAGAAAGGCGAAATCAATCGTTACAGTTTATCATAGAATAAAATTTTGATAAAACGATATATATTTTTTAACAG